CATAACACGTTAATATATTTAGCACAGTCTCTAAAAAAAAAAAAAAAAAAAAAAGGCCAGGCACAATGGCTCATGCCTGTAATCCCAGCACTTTGGGAGGCCGAGGCAGGTGGATCATCTGAGGTCAGGAGTTCAAGATCTGAAACCCCGTCTCAACTAAAAATAAAAAAATTAGCTGGGCATGGTGGCAGGCGCCTGTAATCGCAGCGACTTGGGAGGCTGAGGCAGGAGAATCGCTTGAATCCAGGAGGCGGAGGTTGCAGTCAGCCGAGATCGCACCATTGCACTCCAGCCTGGGCGACAAGAGCGAAACTCCATCTCAAAAACAAAAAAAAAAGCCTAGTTTGACTTTTTAAAATGAGCTCCCCCTGGGTCAGTTTGGCTTGTTTGGCAACCAACTCAATGACTCACAGAAGAAAATAAAACTGTTCCTCAGTCAAGCACTATCTCATTCTCAGTTAAATACCTCAGTATTTAAATTTATATGCAGGTTAAAACAGAGTTTGAGAATTATCATACAGGTTGAATATCCCTTATCAGAAATGCTTGGGACCAAAAGTATTTTGAATTTCTGATTTTTTCAGATTCTGGAATATCTGCACGATATGGCAGTTGAGCATCCCAAATCCAAAAATCAAAATCTGAAATACTCCAATGAGCATTTCCTGTGAGTGCCATGTCAGCATTCAAAAAGTTTTGGCCTTTAGAGCATTTCAGATTTCGGATTTGGGATGTTCAACCTGTACTAAGGTAAACTGATAAGAAAAGTTAATGTTTCTCAAAATTCACTTTCTGCTACTAACATGTGCTTCGGGGCAAATAGTGAAAACTTACTAAACTTCAAGTTAGAAGATGTGTATTCAACTCCTGATTCTGGTTATATAACCAGGAGCATGTGACCCATCTAAGAGGGGGAAATATTGTCATTCATCTTCCTCACAGACCCTAAAAAATAACTGTACTTCACAATGTTCTGAGTACATTTTTAAAACGTGAAGTGGTAAGCAGAATAAAACAACCACTCAAGTACATATTAAACATGAACCAAAAAAAAAAAATCTTTCTTAAAGTACTGGGTGTTTGAAATTTTCTTAAATTCCTTTAAATTTCTCAAATTCACATAAAATTACAAGCAATATCAAAATACACCACAGCCGGGTGCAGTGGCTCATGCCTGTAATCCCAGCACTTTGGGAGGCCAAGGCGGGCGGATCACGAGGTCAGGAGATTGAGACCACCCTGGATCACACAGTGAAACCCCGTCTCTACTAAAAGCACAAAAATTAGTGGGCATGGTGGCAGGCGCCTGTAGTCTCAGCTACGCGGGAGGCTGAGGCAGGAGAATAGCGTGAACCCAGGAGGCGGAGCTTGCAGTGAGCGAGTTCATGCTACTGCACTCCAGCCTGGGCAACAGAGCCAGACTCTGTCTCAAAAAAAAAAAGAAAAAAAAAGAAAAAACCACAAACATTAATTCAAATACTAATGCAAAGTATAACACAGCAAAAAGATCAGAAAAAAATCTCACACCTTCCTAAAATCAAAAATGTATTCAAATTAGTGAATTCTGGAACAAAAAGGGATTACATCCCAGAAGATGGTTTCAGTGTTAACTAAACCTTAGCACATTGTTTCAGTTAAGTAAATTCATCCATCATCTTTTTTTTTTTAACCTTTAACATGGTTCTCAGATGTTTTTCACATAAACACAGAACAAGAATATTAGGAAAAGTAGTTTATCCGAAATACACTTATGTCAGAGTAATAAAGACCGGCACGGGTCGGGCGCCATGGCTCATGCCTGTAATCCCAGCAACTGGGAGGCCGAGGCAGGCGGATCACCTCAGGTTAGGAATTCAAGACCAGCCTAGCCAACATGGTAAAATGCCATCTCTACTAAAAATTCAAAAAATTAGTTAGGCACGGTGGCGGGCACCTGTAATCCTGACTACTCGGGAGGCTGCGGCAGGAGAATCACTTGAATTTGGGAGGTGGAGGTTACAGTGAACCAAGATTGCGACATTGTACTCCACCCTGGGAAATAAGAGCAAAACTCCTTCTCAAAAACAAAAAAAAGACTGGAGCAACAATATCTGGCAAATAATGTGGCCTCCAATAGACATGTAAGAGTACAGCACCGCCGGGCATGGTGGCTCATGCCTGTAATCCTAGCATTTTGGGAGGCAGAGGCAGGCACATTGCCTGAGCAACATGGTGAAACCCCCTCTCTACTAAAATACAAAAGAAATTAGCTGGGTGTGGTGGTGTGTGCCTGTATTCTTGCTACTTGGGAGACTGAGGCAGGAGAACTGCTTGAACCCAGGAGGCAGAGGTTGCAGTGAGCTGAGATCACGCCACTGCACTCCAGCCTGGGCGACAGAGCAACACTTGTCTCTACAAAAAAAAAAAAAAAAAAGAGTACAGCACCTAATTAGCTTGGGGGCAAGATATCACAAATATCAAAAGGGGCATTCCACATTTTGAAATATAACCTCTGAGCACAAACTTCAGCACGGGACAAGTCCAACTATAAGCAAGTTCTACACTGAGCACTGGCTTGAAGTCAATCCTGATTTAAAATTAGTTAATAGACTGGGCGCGGTGGCTCACGCCTGTAATCCCAGCACTTTGGGAGGCTGAGGCGGGTGGATCACCTGAGGTCAGGAGTTTGAGACCAGCCAGGCTAACATGGCGAAACCAGTCTCTGCTAAAAATAACAAAAATTAAAGGGCATGGTGGCGGGTGCCTGTAATCCCAGCAACTCAGGAGGCTGAGGCAGGAGAATCCCTTGAATCTAGGAGGCAGAGGTTGCAGTGAGCTGAGATCGCGCCACTGCACTCCAGCCTGGGCAACAAGAGTGAAACTCGGTCTCAAAAAAAAACAAAAATCAGTTAATAACTGCACCTGAAGAATTTAAACTTATCTAGCAGACACTGGCAAGAAACTTCAAAGTGCTGGTCTTCTGGAAGCAGCACGCAGCAAACTACCGTAAATGAGTGTAAAATGATTATCTTCATTAGGTTAAACCAATGTCTTAAACTACATTGTTAACTAAATTTCCCTCCAAACCTTAAAGGCACCAGAATAAAGCACAGGATCCCAAGTCTTAAGGACTAAGTCCAAGTTCTAACTTTGCTGTGAATAAACCTTCAGTCAGTCATTTAATATGCTTTATTCATTTCTTCTGTAAAATAGAAAAGGGCAAAGATATTTCAAGGAATCAAAACTAATAGTGGAAAAATTCAAAGTTCCTAAATGAAACATAGCCAACCTCTTGTTAAGAATTAAATAAAATTATATATGTAAAACTGCTCAAGAACAATGCTTGCCACGTTTTAAACACTTAGTGTTAGGAATTGTTATTATACATCAATTTTAGTCAAATAGAAAAAATATAAAATAACCCAATCAACAAATTGAATATTTAATAATCCAAATCTTGTCCATTACCTAGGACCAAGGCATTCAAAACCTCAGAATGAAGATAATAGTTTAGCCTACTAGATAATGCAGCGGGAAAAATAAAATTATGATACCTTGGCTGATAGGTGGTTGTTTGTGTCTTTTTTCTTTTTTTTCTGAAACGGAGTCTTACTCTGATGCCCAGGCTAGAGTGTGGTGGCGTGATCTCAGCTCACTGCAACCTTCACTTCCCAGGTTCAAGATTCTCCTGGCTCAGCCTCCCAAGTAGCTGGGACTACAGGCACACACCACCATGCCTGGCTATTTTTGTATTTGTAGTAGAGATGGGGTTTTACCATGTTGTCCAGGCTGATCTCAAACTCCTGACCTGAGTGCCCTGCCCGCCTCGGCCTCCCAAAGTGCTGGGATTGTGAGTCACTGCTCCCACCTGCCAATAGGTTTTTTTGTTCGTTTGTTTTGTTTTGTTTTTTGATGGAGTTTCCCTCTTGTCGCCTATACTGGAGTGCAATGGGGCAATCTCGGCTCACTACAACCTCCGCCTCCGGGGTTCAAGCGATTCTCCTGCCTCAGCCTCCTGAGTAGCTGAGATTACAAGTGTGTGACACCACACCCGCCTAATTTTTGTATTTTTAGTAGAGACGGGGTTTCACCACGTTGGCCAGGCTGGTCTCAAACTCCTGACCTCAGGTGCTCCACCTACCTCAGCCTCCCAAAGTGTTGCGATTACAGGTGTGAGCCACTGAGCCTGGCAGGTTTTTATATTAATACTTTATTAGTTTAAAATAAACTTTTCCTTATTCTGTCTTTTTTTTTTTTTAGTTATCCCTGTCTTAAAAAAAATCTTGCTTACTCAAATCACAAATTCTTCAGATACATGTCTTTTCCGTTTCAAATATTGAGCAAGCCTAAATATCTAAGCATAGAAACATCAGAAATCATAGGTGCATCTCTGAAAAATGCTGTTTCGAGCCCACAGGAATTGTTTTGACTAGTCATTGTACCATTTGCAAATGGAGATAACACCAAAGTGCAAATTATCTTGAGTCCTAGAAAAACAGACGTAGTGGTCAAGAGGCAGGATGTGTGCAAAAGAGGATAAGAAAAAGAAGCCCTGGCGGGACATGGTGGCTCAAGGCTATAATCCCAGCCCTTTGGGAGGTCAAGGTGGGTGGATCACGAGGTCAGGAGTTCAAGACCAGCCTGGCCAACATGTTGAAACCCAGTCTCTACTAAAAGTACAAAAAAAAAAAAAAAAGCCCTAACTCCTCCACTCTCTAGCTACATAATTTTGGGAAAGTCATTTCATCTCTCTGAGCTTCATTTGCTTTATCTATAAAATGGAGAAATAGTCTTACTTCTCTCACAAGTCTTACTTTTCCACTGTTTGGAAAGTCAAATGAGAAAACATACTGGAAAGCACTTTATGGCCTAAAAATTGCAATACAAAAATATCGATCGGGATTTTGTTGTTGTTGCATGAGCAATGTTCAACATACAGGTTAAGTCTACACACTAAACATAGAATTTTCATTTCAAAGTAAACCATTACCATTATTAAAAATTGATATAAAAAAACTTGCCTTGGATTGATTTCTCTTTCCACTTCTCATGCTAAACTTCTCCTTCATTTCTTCTAAAATTATCTTCAGTTTCTTTTCTTCAGGTGTTCCTAAGTATTTTTGGTTCACATGAAGATAGCAATGCCATTTAGCTGATTCAAAGCCCCAGTGGCAAGTTCTTTTGTCAGGTGATCTGTGAGAATGCATCACAAACGTCTGGGGTGCAAACATTCCACAACACTCCAGACACTGAATACATGGAGCATCAGGCTGAACATAAAACTGGGGTGCAAACAGACCCTGACATTTACCCAGGCATTCATGTTCCACTTCAAAGGCACTGCCAGTTTCCTTTAACTGGGCCAATGAGTTTTTAGCAGGAAGTACACTACCATTTTGAGGAAAAGTTCGTGGCCGCAATAAAGCATTACATAATCTTTGTGCATCAGTTAATGTAATCAGCCCACAGGATGGGGCATTGAATGGAAGTATGCCCAGTACCTTTAAGATATGAAGCTGGTCTGAAGTACACCTTGAACAATATATGTACAATTCATCACACACTGTATTTATTTGCTGGAGTGTAAATTCTCGGAGAACAGAATTTAAGACTTGGGGCAAACAGAGTCTCTTTTCTCCTCCAACTTGAAAACAAGAAATAGATTCCCCTTCCAATACAGTCTGAGTGAGTTCTGTGGAGCTATCGGAAGGGATGAGCAATGGGCCAGGAAGAACCTGAGGTGATGGAAGAGGCAGAAATACAGTAGGCGACATGCTTTCTTGGGAATGCCGAGCAGAAAATGCTGCTGGTCCACCCAGTGAGCTCTGACTACTTAAATGGAATTGTGCCAGTGTGTGTTTCAAACTGGGATTTAAATGTAAAGTTTCAGGAACAGAAGCACAGGTTCGCTTGACATGCTCTCCATCAGTTTCCACTGGCGCTTCTCCATAGTCATCCAAGTGTTCCTTCTTAACTGTTGGCACCTTGTTTATCATTTTTCCATTTGCATTAATGTCTGTTACCATTTTTTTCGCTGGGGGGCTGCCATCATCTCCCATCCCATTCAGTTTTTTATTTGAGCCCTGAACCAAGGAGAAATTTGTCCGGAGGTTTTCCATCCTATACTCTTCTGTTAAATAATTAAATCTGAGATTAGCATTTCTATTTAGTTGCTTATTTGAAAAAGAGGAAATGAATGTATACAAATGCTTATAGTAACTTACTCTCAAAGAAACTTTTCAAAGAGAGATTCCCTTAAATAAATAAATTTTGCGACTTAGTTTTGGTTCTCCTTATATAATCTGGTATAATTTCACTGCAAGTCCTATATAACTGTTCGTTTTGCCTCTAACAATAAAGAGGCACACCTCTGAGAATGCCTTTGTTTTCTTGAATTCTTCAGATATACATATTAAAATAAAGTTACCAATTTCTCAATTAAAGATGTCCAGGATCAATGCAATGGTTTGGTTTGTTTTAAGCAAAACACATGAAAAGTTTATGCCATTCCTTGGGCCATAAAATCTAGACTCAAACACAACTCAAAATGATGCAACCAAATTTAATCTTTACCACCAAGGAAACCGAAAAGGAGGGCAGAGGGAGTATTTCCTCTAAAAATGATGGTCTGCTGGTCTGTGCTGGAAAACCGAAGACGTGTGTAAATCCTCAAACCAGTGAGAAGAGCCTCCGACTTAAAAAACTGCCCAGTTATCTTCAAGGATTATAGTTCATTCTTCTTTTAATTAATCTGGAAGAAGAGAAGGGGGTGGGAGAAGAGTTACATTTGAATTTGCCTCAGACGCCAAACGGGGCCAGTTTAAAACCAGTCGGTTTTTTTTTGTTTTTTGTTTTTTTTTTTTTTACGGAGTCCCGCTCTGTCACCCAGGCTGGAGTGCAGTGATCTCGGCTTACTGCAACCTCCGCCTCCCGGGTTCAAGCAATTTTCCTGTCTCAGCCTCCCGAGTAGCTGGGACTACAGGCGCAAGCCACGACGCCCAGCTAATTTTTTAGTATTTTTAGTTGAGTCGGGGTTTCACCATATTGGTCAGGCTGGTCTCGAACTCCTGACCACAGGTGATCCTCCCACCTGGGTCTCCCAAAGTGCGGGAAATACAGGTGTGAGACACCGCACCCGGCCGAAACCAGTTGCTTAATCTTAAACTGAGTTCACTTTACCAAAGGTGAAGCTTGAGTGATTTCTTTAAATCTAACACCAGTTTACTAGAAGAACATTCATTTAAATAGGAAAGCAATTTGGAGTTGGAGAAAGCGAGCAATAATACAACACAAAAGGCCATTCGAGTTCAGAACATGAAGACTCTTAAACAGATCATCTCAATCAGTACCAGAGGCTTTCTCAGTTATGCCATTTTAAGGGAGGAAAAAAATCCATTACTTCATCTCCTATTTAAAAAAAAAAAAAAAAACAGTTTCACCCAAAAAAATCAGATAGGAGTTAACATATCTACCATATGTAACCAAGTTACAATTTTAAGTGAATTAATTCAGCTAGTCCATGTACACTAATTTTCTGAAATAACTGTAGACAAAAATTAACTCTCTCTTTAAAAGGTTAGCGATTTTACTTAATGGAAGCCAAAAGCTATAGACTCCACGCCTGGGAATCTCCAACCTTGAACAAGACTAATCCGGGACAAAAAGCACAAGGCAGACAAACCTCACAAAGAATGCAAATGGAGGAAGAGGGGAAAAGAAAAGACTCTTCTACTTCCTTCTTGAGAGAAAACCCAAAATAAATCCAATAAATAGAAATTTTTACTTCCCAAACTCTCAGCAATTTACCTTAAAACAGACCCAAAGGATTAAGGACCAATGCCACCAACCATCGTACAGATTTTTGTACACCACGAGAACACACCTCAGTCAACATAGGCCAAGGAAGAGGGCAAGAGGCATGCCCTAGAATGCGGGAGCCCCTAAAACCCTGAAGTCCTCCGCCCACTCAAAGCCACCCACCTATCTCTAACCCGAAGAGGGGGAGAACAAGGGACACGGGAAGCCTGGGGGTGGGTGTGCAAGGGGGCGGAGGGAAGTAAAGGGAGGAGTCCCCCCACCCCCACCCACGAGCCTGGGATAACCCCAAGTGCCCTCCCAATACCGCCCCCCCGCGGGGGCCGCGGGAAGGACTGTGGAAATCCCCCCCCTCCGCGCGCCCTCTCCCTGGGAAGTTCTCGGGTGTCACCTCAGCGCCCCTAATGCTGCACCTCCCCCCGCCAGCCCCGGGCCAGAACGAAGAGGGCATTGGGGCAGTTCAGGCGCCGAGAGCGGATCCCCGCGCCGCCGGGGGCCGACGGACCGAGTCGAGACCAGGGCATCCCCGCGGAGCGCTGCTGGAGTGGGGGAGGGGGGCGGTGACGGGCGTCCGGGTCTCCGGGGTCCCCGCGGCTCCCGTCAAGTGCAGCGCCCTGCCCTGCCCGCGCCCACCGCCTGGGGCCAACGAAGCGTGATCAGCTGTGGGACACGCGCCTAGCGACCCCCTCTGGCCCCGACCCCCCGGGACCCGCGCATCCAAACCCCCTACTCGGGCCTCGGTGCCCGGGGAAGCTCCACGAGCTTTGTGAACTCCCCACCACCCCTGTCGCCACCGTCGGGCTCCCAGGAGGGTGAGCGCCTCTGGCCTCCCGCCGCCTCCGCCGCGTCCCGGCCGTGAGCCGGAGCCGCACCTGTGCCCGCCGCCGCCGTCGCCGCTCGCCCGCTCCCTTCGGCTGTGCCGGCGCCGCTCCGAACCCCACACACATCGCTACACACAGCCCTCTGACGTCACCGAGTCCTCGGCCCGCCCACGTCACTGCGGAGACACACGGCTTCCCGCAGACGCCGCCGCCGTCTCCGGCCGCCCGGGGGAGAGCGAGGGCGGCGGGGAGGGGGAGGGGAAGGGAACGAAGCCAGCGGCGGCGCCGCGCGCGCGGGACCGCCGGCGTCGCCGCCGCCGCCACTTCGCGGCTCCCGACCCCCTCGGGGACGCGCGCGCCGTCTGGCCTATTGTGGCTCCTCAGGGCACCCCCCGGCCCAGTCGTCTCGCGCGCGTGCCCCTCCCCCCAGGCGCGCGCCCGGCGCTTCTCGCCCCGCGCGCCGTCTGGGCGGCTGGCGCGCGGCGCTGTCTGCGGTGCACCCGGCGCAGACAGGATGTTCCCTCCCCACCCCACCCTCACCGCCGCCCTCCCTCCTTCCTTCCTCTAGTCGCCCAGCCGGCTGTCTGGGGCCACCGCCCCGCCCCCGCCCCACCCGCCGCTCTGTGGTGATGGGCCAGACCCGGGGGCGCCCTGGCCGCTCGGACGCCGCGCAGCGGGGAAGAGGGGGCAGGGCAGCCACGCCGTGCACTGTGCGCGACCCCAGCAGCCGGCAGGGCGGAGGCAGTGCTCGCCCGGCAGAGCGCCGCCGCCCGAGGTCAGGCACGGGCGACCCTCCCCCTGCTGGGCCGCAGCTGGGCCGCCCCGCCCCGGAGGCAGCAGGGCGGCGGCCGCCCTGCAGGGCCCCCGGGGCCGGCTCTGCTCCCCGCCCCCGCGGGACCTCCCTCCTGGGCTGCCCCTCGCCCCCTCGGGGCCTCCTGCCCAAGGGCCGCCCAGCCAGCTGCCGGCGCTCCGCCCCGCCCCGGCGGCCCCGGCCTCGCCCGAGCGGCCTCCACCCAGACGCCTTCCCCTGGCTGACCTCCATCCGCCATCGGGTCGGGCGGGAGGGGTGGCCAAAGTTCTGGCAAAACCGAGAGCAAACATTTCTATCCCTGCTCCCCAGCCTCCTGCCTCCACCCCACCAGGCTGCTCTCTCGGTTCCAGAAGGGAGCTAAAAATTACAGGTTTTTACAGTGTTTACTGAGGCCTTTTTTTTTTTTTTTTTTTTTGGAGAGTGACGAGACGAGGTTGGGAATATAGGACTCAAGAGCTTTCCGGCTGTGACCCTCTGAGGCGTGTAGGGTGGTCTTCCTGGTTCCCAGGGTAGCCGATTAGCATATTGAACTCTGCAGAGCTGCTCCGTCACATTTCGAAACACCAAGAAATCCCCTTTTCTCCACCCCACCACAAGATCAGGAACTGAAATAGTCCACCGAGTAGCAGTGCACAGAATTCAGGAGACTCGAGCTTTGTCCCTTTTTTCCCCCCATTTTCGTCCAATTTCTTCTAGTTTTACTGCTTCGAGTTATTCCTATGGGGGCCCACATTTGGAGTCGGCCGGCTGGAAATACTTGTGCTCGTATATATTTTTTTATTATTATTTCCTCACAACAGGCCTCCGAAAGGCTCACAAGCCTCTCAATCCCCACCACTCGCTGCACCTCCACCCAAGTTCCCTTCCTTAGGCCCCCACCGCCGAGCTCCCAGGTCGTGCCCCCTCTCCACCCCGCCCCCCTTTTCTTCCTTCTTGACTGCCTCCTTTCCTGAACATGAATAATTCCACAGCACTTCCCATCTGTTATTGCCATAGAGACAGAAGCTTGGCAAAGATAATGATGTTCTGTGCAGAGCCAGTGGGGGAAAAACAGCATCTGCGAGTCTGGGGGGATAGATTTTGTAACTGTGAGAATATTCAGAAGGCCTGGCTGAAGATCTGCTGTGAAGACTGGACAATCCTGAAACTTCGCACCAGGTCAACTCAGCACCTGGCTCCTGTGTCTAGCCAGAAGGAACAATTTTTAGAAACCCACATGACTGCTTAATAAAAAAAAAAGTAATTCTGAAACTGCAATTATTAATAAATGTTTAGTAGTCATTTTACCAGCCATAAGAATAATTACTTGCTAGCATGTCCAAGAACCAAGATAAATTGGACAGTAAATAGACTTTTGAGAAATCAAACACATTAATCCGCCTCCCCATTCTGTTTATTTGCATTCCTCAGAAATCTGTTTTTGAGAGATCTTTCATGCCTGTGATATTCTGTGCAATGGTTTGACAAATAGTGACCGGCAAGTATGACTAGAACCAATCAAAATTGAGGGCATTTATTTTTCCCTTATTGGTCAAAGTACAAAATGCATCAAATTAAAATCACTTTGCCCTTGAATTGCCAAACCTCAAAGGTACGTGTTTGAAAGCAAGTGAAACTGAACGGGGTCCATTTATACATAGATCTGAGGCAGATAGGGAGGCTCACAGGAAGCCACATTTTTGCAGGCCTACTTAAGGATTTTCAGAACTTATCAGTAAAATTGATTGTATGTATCATACGACATTGAAAAGAAATGATAATGGTTCTTTATTACAAATACAGAATTGCACAGACACAGAAAATGCAGGCCTTAGAAAAAATAGGCACTGCGAGGTAATGAATTTTGTAATTCCACAGGCTCTTGGTCTTCATCAGACCAATTGAAAAGTCAATTAAGGATTGGTCAACAAATAGTTATTAGGTGGATTTTGCATGACCTCCCACCTCACCATCTTGGCTACCAGCAGGAGTTGAGCAAGACCACCATGAGAGCGTGCTTGCCTGCGCATGAGAATTTCAAATGATTGGGGGTAGAGACTACCTATTGTTTCATCTTCTTCCATTAAATAGTACAGATAGAAGATTCAAATTAACTGGTACTAGGTAGTCTAGAATGTCTTCTTCAGTAGTTATTGCTGTCTGATAATAGAGACCAAGAATGGAGAGGTTACAAACTCGAAGGCCAGTTCTGTTCTGTGACCTGAAAATAGTTTCAGGCAAATACTTTTCTTTTGTCTCCATTTACTGATCTGTTGATAATGCCTCACTAATATTAATTACAAAGAAGATGGAAATGAGAAAGGATAGGGTAAGATGCAAAAATTCAACATAAATTATTTTTATTTTTATGAAGGAGAAGGAAGAAAGTCAAATGTTAATTGAGCTTTCTAACACTGGCTTGTGTTTGCATTTACACCTTCTGCTCTTTTCCAAAGAAAAGAAACCAGTTATGGTCTCTGATGGTCCTTCTGCCAAAGTCTTCCTTCCTTGAGCCTCGATTTTTAAAAATGTGTTTAAAAGTTTTTTTGTTGTTTATTTTTAGCAGCAAGTCAAATGCTAGGAGGTCCTTCAGTTTCACGAAAGAATCTCAACCATTTCCTTTTTGATCTCATTTTTTTTCCTGTAGCTTTTCTTTAATTTCTATTTTTCAGAATTATGATCTTCAACTTTTTTTTTTGAGATGGAGTCTGGCTCTGTTGCCCAGTTTGAAGTGCAGTGGTGCTATCTCCCAAATAGTTGGGACTACAGGCGCGCACCATCACGTCTGGCTAATTTCTGTATTTTGTAGAGAGGGGGTTTCACCATGTGAAGCAATTCAAGCGATTCTCCTGCCTCAGCCTCCCAAGTAGGTGGGATTACAGGCGTGTGCCACCATGCCCTGCTAATTTTTGTATTTTCAGTAAAGACGGGGTTTCGTCATGTTGGCCAGGCTCATCTTGAACTCCAGACCTCAGGTGATCTGCCCAATTCGGCCTCCCAACGTGCTGGGATTACAAGCGTGAGCCACAGCGCCTGGTCTGATCTTTAACTTCTTCACAGCACTTTAATCATTTTCCTACCTGTCCTCTTCCCTTTACACTTTACTCCTCCATACTTGTTTTGTGTTACTGTTACTGCCAGTGCACAGTTTCTTCCCCTCATTGAGTAGGGTTTCTCCTCTGGACTACTTTCTCCTCTTATCTGCCAAGTCAGTACTGGATCTACAAGGTCCCTATTTCTACTTTTGTACTGTAAATAAGATGAAAACCAGATGCCTAAAAACTATTAACCTCATCTCCCTGAATAATGTCACACAGCACTTCCTTTTGTTTTATTCCAGCTTTTTTTCCTTTCTTTTCTTTTTTAAATAAGACAGGGTCTAGCTATGTTGCCCAGGCTGGAATACAGTGGCTATTCGTAGGTGTGATCCTAGCATACTGCAGCCTTGAAGTCCTGCACTCAAGCCATCCTCCCACTTCAGCCTCCTGAGTAGCTCGGACTGTAGGTGCATGCCGCCATGCCCAGCTGCTTTTTCAGGCTTTAACTTAGGCTCCATGCAACTGGAAGGAAAGAGAAAAATACAAAAAGGAGTAGCCAGAAATGGTAAAATAGAGAAAGATCATGTTAAAAATGTTTGCATTTTCAAGTCTTAGATTCCAGTTCATCCCAGAGACTGAACTGTGT